ACAGCAGTCTCTGTGTCTTTATTTGTTCCATCCATCCACCACAGCGATAAAAACTGCAGTTTTTCTGTTTTTCTAGATGGAATAAAAAAAAGACAAGAACATCAAATTGGAAGAAACACTCCACTTTTTTTTTTTGAAATTTTCCTTGTTGAATTAAAGAATGAAGAAAGGGATTCAGGTGGCATGGAAGTCAAGGTAAATATAAAAATGTAAAATGTTTTTTTTTGTTGTTGTTGTTTAGTGTTTGGTTTAAAATGAAAAAACGAACTGCCTGGAAGTACATGGACGCCCAACCTCAGGTTTAATATCCTTAATAATCTGGGTCAAACTTGACTCTTTGTAAGAAAGCGGAAACTAACTCTGTGTCCAAGTCAAACACTTTGTGAGCCCTTCATCCACCCTGACCTCCTCCTCTAACAACGCTACACTGTATATACGTCCAATTTTACACAACCACTAGAAGTCCTTGTCATGTTCACGTAAATATATGTTATTTTAGGCGCTGTTGTTTTTCTTGTAAGGACAGACAAATGTCCGATAAATGTATTGTACATAAAAAGTACCACATTTCCCCGTGGTATATAGCAAAGGGTAAAAGGTTTCCCAGAGTGGAAATACTGCAGCACAGCACCACCTCCAAATGTGCCTTCTTCCTTTGTTCAAAACCAACAAGGAAACCCATGCATTACTGCTTCCCATGATCCTTTTCATGATTCCATTGCTAAAAAATGCTGTGTGCAGAATTTTCCACCAGCAAAAACGGGTTCATCAATCAGCCATTACCCACGCCGCCTCCGTCACATTACGTCAATGTTAATAAAGGGCGATAAGCATCTACAGTGAGGTGCGTCCCCGGAGAAATCTCACCTAATAGAGCTGCTCTTCCATTCTCTCCCTCCAAGCTTCATCGTCCTCACAGATCCTCTTCGCCAACCCCTCGTCCCTGCAGGAGCGACTGTATAATTCATAACCTCAGCTGGTACCTGTCAGGCTGTTTCAGAGGCAGCGGAGCAGAAGTTGCCCTTAAGGCTCAGCTGCAAAATACACTCACCTGCCCTTAAAACCAACCTGCAGTTTATCAGTGAGAACATGTGGGAAACTGACCCTGTTTTAGTGACCTACACCCACAGTAGTAGCCTGGGAGAAGACTTTACTATTCCTAGTGAATTTCAAATGAATTTATTTCAGGTGTGTAACTGCCAGGCTCACATTTTGATGTCAGTTCAAAGACCAGTTTGTGAATCGTGTTTCAATTAAGAAAACTGCATAAAAGGGATTTAGCTTGGTGATTTTACGATCTGGATTGTGACATATGTTCACAAACCCCAACAGAAATCTGCCCAAGGATGAACTGAGTAGATTTTTATGTGAGGGTCCAACATTTTTAGCTTTTTTGGCCATGTCATGTTGTCCATTTAGAAAATCAAAACTGTACCACACAGTAATTGGTTAAATTTTGTTATGGAGGCTACACGTCATCAGTACTAGAAGCTCGCAGCACTACTACATTAGCTGCTTCATGCCACTTGGAGACGATGTCCTGCTGCTCTGCTCAGAGTTCAGTTAGTTTCAGCTTTGACCTTGTCCATCTGTGACGTCTTAGTGTGCAACCAATGAGATGACAGCTCTGCGCCATAACCTGTAAGCAACCCATGATGGATGGAAAGAATAATAAACCCTTTATTATTCTTTTCTCATGCAACAAAACCTTTTTGATCATCAGGTCTCTCTTTCTCTAAAGGAGCATAGCTGATTGGTAGTTCCTTCTAACCCAGAACTTCCTGCCACACTGGTAATCTAAACCCACGCTACATGTAGACCTCTTTTTGAGTCATGTGACTTTTTGGCCTTGGTAGTTCAAATATTTTGTTGATATCTGTTTTTAAAGCTGCAATAACTGATTTGCTCAATTGGAGGCATCAAAACAATTTGACAACATACTACCCTGACATGTTAGCATGTAATAAAATTGTTGTGGCTAACATGTTTTCAAACAGTTGGCAGCTTGTCCATCCAGCAGACCCAGAGCAACATTAACATTCAGTTGGGATCATTTTAACTCTTCTTTTAGCTCTGGTTAGTTCTCCACCAACGCCTGGGAAACATATCTGTCTCTTTTACGTTGCCAGTGTTCCACTTCCTCTAACTTTGCCTGCTGGTTGGTGCTGAGCAGGTAGTTTACAGTGGGGCTTTCAGAGTTTGTTTGCTGAAAAATTAAACAGTTAATGTGCAGGAAAACCAAAACAATGAGCCAAAAGAGGCTAAAAAGCACTATATAGTCTGTTGATTCATTGGAATGATATTTTCTCAACAATCTATTTGACCCCTGAATAACCCTTTTCAAAATAATGCTGCTCATTTCCCCCTGAATGAAAGGTCTCGGATATGAGTCATTGGGTCTCCCTCTGAGATCCCAGAGGAGGTTGCAGACCTCAGGATAGAAACCTCTGTCGATGGCTTCATGGTTTCACTGAGAGCCTCCTCCTCCTCCTCCCGCCCTCCTTCTGCGTTAGGGTCCTCCTGCCAAGAGCTGCCGCAGCCCCCCACCTCCCTTACAGCCAGAGGAGGAAGTGGTAATGTCAGGAATGATTAGGACAGCGGGGGTCATCGCAGCGACTCTCCTGTCAGGGCTGTTGAAGATAACAGAGGTCTCTAGAGAGCCAACAGTCCAGACAGCTAACCTCACCTCTGTTTCTCCTTTTAACCTCTCCATTTTCTCTTCACGCTTAAAAGCCTCTTCCCCACACACGCAGACAGCTGTTTGTTTATGATTTTTCCCTTTTTATGGCAGCTTGTGGTTTTTCTTCTGGACATCTAAACACAAAATTCTGCAGAGCTGATGGCTACAAAGAATTGCCATTGCATCACTCATTTTAGTCATTTTATCAGCTGCATGTTGTTTATTTTATTGTTTTCCTTTAGTTTGGTTGTTGGTATGAAGAATTACAAAGTGAAAGTTCTGTTACTGGCCAAAATATGTCCATGCTGCATTTTAAAAGACATGCACATGACTTACAGTGAATGTTAATTCAATGATCCAAGGTATTTTAGTATGTGGCAATATTCATAAATGGCTGTCGACTGCAGATAAAGTTGAAAAGAATTCGACGTTATATGATGATGTATGGTTGTATTTTGCTGACATGATGCATGGGTTGCAATGTAGGGTTTGTCTTCTTTGAAATCTTATTGGCCGAAAGAGCCTTAGATTATATTAACTGCTTTGAATGTCACCACAAACCTTGTGTTAAAAACCTAAAAACCTAATGTTTTCTAGTAATTGTAGCCTAAGAAAAGTGCAATTAATTTTTTTTTTCTTTTTTTTGAATTTTCACTGATGTGTCACCAAAACTCTGTACTTGTAATATCACACGTTCAATTGCTGTGACAGCTCTGACAGCTGATACTTTAATGCTACAGTGTGTGATTTCAAGCTTAAAACAAAAGACAAAAATCAATGGCAGCCAATGATTTTCTGTACATTAGATCATGTGTTTCACTTACTGTCACTGACGGATGTAAGAATGACCTTAGCCAAAAAAAGTCAACCTGTTTACCTGAGTGCAGATTTAGCTTCTAAAAATGGAGAAGAATCAATAAAACATAATGATTATCTTTGCACTAATTGACTGAAGTGTCAGTCATGGTGATAACACTTTTTTACACAGTGTCATTTAGATGACCTGATGGTTAGAGAAACATCCGGTGACTCATTGGTGTTCTCTGTAATACAAAATCAAAGTTAGTGTCATTTTTTGTGTGTGTACTCTGATCACTCTTTCACCCTGCTATCGATGAGTTATATGGTAAATATGGTTGATTGTTTTGATATTTTACAGATTTTATTACAAAAATACTTCAAACAATAGAAAACTGAAAGGGAAAATAAAGAGAAAACACAAGGAAGCCGCTAAATATGCAACAAGGTTTAATATTTTTATTATTGATTTTACCCATTTTTTCGAAGTATTAAATATTCAAAATAAAAACAAATCAATTCTGACTGACAATAATGTGCGCCAATGGAAGAGTGCTTATCAATAGCCATCCATAAATAAAATCAGACCTTTGCAGCAGTTCAGAGCTGAAGTATAGCTAATGTCTTACAGTGTGAACAAACAAAACAAAGAGAACAAACCCTAACCCAAACAGAGACAGGCTGAGAGTGAGGGGTGGGGGGGGGTGTATCCTGGGAGGAGTGTGCTCTGTTTCCCTCTGAGCTCTGGGGCTCAAACGCATCCCTGCAGCTCCTCAGTGATACGTGAGCACTCAGGGATTACATAAACCCTGTTCTCCTTGGGACTCATACGAATGCTGACACTTAGTAAGGGCTGGTTTCTCTGCCCTCGCCACTGATGACTAACCAGCAGGACATTTGGCCTCAGAGCTCAGGTCAGTTAATTAAGCGCTAACGAGCAGTCACATCATTAGCCACCCATCAATGGCTGATTATTCTTTGAAAGACTTATCATTAATTATGTCAATTACAGCAATCACAAGCTTTAAAACTGACTGCTAGCTTTTACAAAGGAAAGTTCTTATGTATTTAAAAAGAAGTGCTGATGGAAGTAGCTTTCTACATTCTAAGGAGGGCACATCAAATCACACAGGTGAAAAGATTTTATATTATATCAAAGGAAGTTTAGAGCGATAACTAGCTCATGGGGGTTTGAGCCCCCATGACTGTGAACATCTGCCCCACTGAGGTGTCCTGTAGCAGGATGCTGAATCCCTACCAGCTCCAGGGATGCTGTGACCTTTGACCTCCCTTCAGAACAGTGTCACCAGAAATCACACATTTCTGCTTGTGTGAGAAAAAAATAAGCCAAAACCTTATCTGTTTGTTCGCTGAATAGCCACTATATGGTAGATGGAGACAGAGATGTCTTGTGTTCTTTGTGTCCTCAGGAGTCAGAATAAGAGCAATAATAATAAGAGCAAAATAAAATAGAGTAAAATAAAACATTTGATTTGCTTCAAATGGTACATTTGAGTGTGTGTCACACAGAGGTTATACATTCAGTGGTGCTGGTTACACAGACTCCACAGTCGCATCTCAAGGCCACGGGGTAGGTGTACATTGGGTCGACGTTGGGCTGGCAGTTGGGCAATTTCACAGTGACCATGCGGGTTTCATTGTAGGTACAAACCCGCTGGTGGGACTCAATGTAGGGAGGGTCCAGGACGGGCTTCTGGAAATACAAACACACTATATATTTACACTGTATATACCTACACACACACATATATAGATGTATCAAATATCCTACATATTAAATGTCAACATTTTGAGAACTGCGTTAATTTGCTTTCTTACAGTTAGATAAGAAGATTGATATCACTTTCATATCTGTCCATTACAGACTCTTTCAACTCTCAGCAAGAAAGCAAATTAAGGGATTGCATTAAACATGCACTTACATGTTTAATGCATTTCCTACCTCATAAAACATTTGCAAAGCCCTTTTTAAAAATGCTTACAAAATTGTTTTGTCCAGCTTGTTTTCTCCACTTTAAGTGGCACTCTGCTACCTTTTATTGTGGGATACCCCCACCAAATACTGGGGAAAATATATATTATGTCATATTCATGCTTTGTGCTGCATCCAAGTCCTTGCAAATATAAACAATGCACGGGCCTACTCCTACAAACGTTACTCTAAAGCACCACCACTGGTTAAAAACTCCACACAGTGACTTCAAGCTCCAAACCAACCTGAAGATTAGACTCTTTTCTGTGTCACCTGATGTGATAAAAATCCATCTCATTAGACTTTTCTTACTTAATAAATGGTTTTGTTCAGCCTCTCATTATTTGCTCATCACCAGTGCCAAGGAACCTCTGTTTTGCCATCAAGCCGTGTTTAACATGAGATTTGTGACACATCTGCAAACCCTCTATTAATTGTTTGTGGTGTTGGCGCGTAATCTCATTCTGCTGTTGCTGTAATTAAAAGTTTGACTGGATCATGTCATCAGATCAATACACAGGCACAAATGTAAATCCTGAAGTTGGGTAGTTGTAATTAGAGACTGTCCTGTCACCTACAGTTCACAGATTTCACCCCTGACCCCAGTAACTGTTCCTAAGGCAAGACATGGACTCCCTCTGCTGCGTCCTGACCTCCCTGTGGGGTAGAGCACACAAAAAGATGAGTCTCCTCCCTGAGGGGATCCAAATAGTATCACAAAACAAAGCTCGGGCCTCCTGCCCAAACACCAGCTACACTGCAATAATAATAAAGCAGGGAGAATCATGAGCTTTCTAATGCCTCTTGTCACTGAATACAATGTACTGGATGAATCTTGAGATTTCACAGCATAATCAGTATCCGGCAATTTATGGAATCCATTTGTGTCTTCTCAGCACTTGAGGCATTGTTAGGGAAAGCACTGCTGTCACTTCAATCTCTGGATTCCTCGCTGCTTTCGTTAACTCGGTTTCAGAGCACGCTGCTCCAGAAGCCTCCTGTCCTCCAATCTTCAGACAGCCTCTCATTACTACGCGACAATGATTAGATCTTGATAGGGGAATATAAACACAGAATATATTTTTCTTGGACATCCCACACACTTATCTGTCCCTCTATCTGTTCTTACATAGGTCCATCTATGTACTGTATCTGTCCAGCCGCTGAATCCCTGCTTGCATGCACGCTGTCCTTGCACTGACCTCCCTGCAGAAAGAGGAAAGCGAAAACAAATTTTCTCCATGGGGATCACCCCATCTCTCCATCTCTTTATCTACAGTATTTATCTGGCTGTCTTCCTGCCTGTCTGTGTGCTTGACCGTGTGATAGTCTGAACCTGCATCTAATCCATCCTCCTCCTCCTCCTCCTCCTCTTCTTCTTCTCCTTCTCTCTTTCTTCAAATGTGAGCTGATGCAAACAGCAGGGTAATATTCTTTTGTGTAAAGTTGTCAGCTTTGCTCACGTCACCTCTCTGTATAATCACATTTACACTACTCTCCTCTCTGTGTGTATTGTACAGTAGATGTCTCCCAGCTGCTCACCTCCCAGGTCTCACAGCGCCCCCAGCAGGCGTCAGTGGTGATGTGCAGGCCCCCGCAGCCGGGTTTCTTGGCGAGGAAGGTGAACTCCCGGACAGCACAGCCAATGAAGCGCCGCAGGTTGACGGCTGACACCCTGTGGAGGGAGTCTGGTTGATGAGAGATCCAGAATAGAAACCAGCAAAGCATCAGTCCAGGCCTCCTGAAGGTGAGAAGAGACAGTTTAAAGAAGGCTTTTTAAAAGTATTTTCAGTCTCAGGCTTTAGGTGCAGGTACAGAAGAAATTTGGATTGCTCAACGACACTAAAGCAGATAGAGGCTGAATCCCAATCAGAGACATTTCATTTTTTTGTGGTTGTCATAACCACACAACTGCAGTCTGAGGTCAATTCAGGAAGCTTTAAATAAAACATTTGAGTTTTAATCCTTTAACATAAGCATAGTAATTAGATTCTCATGTTGAAGTTACATTTTTTTGACCCAGAGCTGGTTTCAGACCAGTATCAGGAAACTGGACTCAAGCTGTCAAGCTGGACTTGATCTTGATCGGCTTCTTCCTTTAAATCCAGACTGAACCTGATGCTGTTCAGTCAGAGAACATCTGATTTTCTCCAAGTCTTAATGTCAACAAGACTGATGGTTTCATTTCTTCAACTGCAAGACCACAACCAGGACACCCCAGTCCAGTAAACATGTGGCCCAGTAAAGAAGTGAAACTGTTCACTCAGGCCAGTTTTCAACATTTACCTACTGCATTTAGCATTGATTAGCATTGCCAAAGATGTGGCCTTATGAGGACTCAGTCATTCAACTTTTAATTAAATCGAGGAAAAAATAAAGTAGCTTCTGTCATTTAAATGTTTTTTTTTTTATATAAAAATAAAAATAAGCCCCTGAGGTTGAATTAATTCCCTTCAGTGCTTATTTTTCCTCAGTGACTGTTTCATTCTACATTATCTCTTACTCTGACTTTAAAAGACCAAAATTCATAAAGGTTTTCAGATGTGAACAACTTGACTGGTTTCTCTTTTCTCCTGAACACTTGAAGGACTTTCTATTGGCTTGAAAACTGAAGATCAAAGTTCAAAATTCAGTCTTGACCTTGGAAGTTTAATTTAATTTAGCTTTCAGTTTGGGAGCTTTTAACTGAAGAGCTTTCAGTCACATCGCATCCTGTGAGAAAGAAAAATGGAAATTTAAACAACCACAATTTCAACAGGTCAAACTCCTTCTGCTGATGAAAATCATGTGACATGATCAAAAAGTCCAGAACAACTACTAAACTGACCTTGTGGTGAGATTGTCTTCTTAACTGCTGTTGATGTATGTAATCAGGGCTCAATATAAAGCAGTACTTCCTCTGAGCAGATTATCCTGGTGAAATAAAGTAAATTGAAATAGTTTTACTCACCATCCTGGCTTCTTCCTCTGTAGCATCATTTTAGCTGTAACTCACACTCGTTGTCACGCAGACAACAACCACAGGGATTAAATGTATTGACTATTGAATAGACACTAAAAAATGACGACACAGTTAAATTAAGCAGGTTGTTGCTGTCAGACCAGCAGTTTTTCTCACAGCTGTAGCACGCAGGGCTGTGATACCAAGTCTGAAGTTACTCTTTGGCAGCGTGGACGTCTAAAATGAACCACGGTCCTTGTCACTTTATTCTACTCAGACCTGAACCACCTGCTAATGGATCTGACAGTACAAGCCAGGGCTTTTTATCACCCTGTGTTCTGCCAATCAAGAGACTGAGGTCCTCACCTCAGTCTCTCTTCCCCATGACTCCTTAAATCCCCCGGAGGCACCTTCTACCTGTCGCTGCCCATCTAGTTCAGCTACCAGCTTGTTCCCACTCCATTAGCTTGATTAGGAAAAGAGTCTGCCCTTTTGTTCATAGTCATCCACATGGAAGAGGGGGAACAACATACTCAAACACAGTGCCTACCTGTGTCTACTGTCACTCATCCGAGCTCAATTAGCTGGCTCCAGAGTTTCAGACCCAGCTCCTGTTCTCACATGCCGACTGTAATGACTTCACCCCCAAGCTCCAGCACTGCTGTTTGCCTTATTCTGCCACTTTGTCTCATTCTTTTCATTATGTCTTTTTTTTGTTGTTGCCAGTGACATTTCCATATTCACACAAAGAGAGAGAAAGCTGGCTGTTGCTCAGGCCATGTCTTACAGGCTTTACTGCATGGATCATTCACTTAAGACGGAGCGGATGCATGTGAAGGATGCGTCACCCCTCGCAGGAGACAATGACAGGAGGAGGCGAAAGGAGACAGGGAGATGTGAAGAAGGGAGGGAAGGATTGATTTGGGTGAGTAAGCGCCTCATCAAGAAATTACCATCGTCAGAGGCCCCGCGGGCAGCGTGTGGAGCCAGCAGAGCAGAACTGCTCTCAAGTAGTTTGGGAAATGAATCTTTAAAAAGTAAAGTTGAAAGTTGAGGCCAGGCAATTAAAGTTAGATTAGAAAATATTCAGCGGGATGAGTCAGAGACAGGTTCACACTCTTCTCAGACACCCTGTCCTCCTCGCTATCAGAGAGAATTACCCATCTGGAGGCTATTATTGAACAATGTGCATAGTGTGGAATAACAGAGTGCATGTAATTGGATAACAGTGGTGATTACAATGAAGTTAATTGTAATCCAGTACAAAGGGGAGTAAGCCTGGATTTCCACAATCCGGCTTTTGTGTAATTATTTGTGGATTGTTAATGAAAGATTCCTCTTTTTTTTTTTCTTTGTTATACTTCATTTCTGTGAGGAAATCCATCTTCTTCATTTAACCCATCCTGACTAATAGAACTGGGTGGCCACACTGCAGGAACCAGTGACCAGTCTACCTAAGACCAATTCTTAGTCTTACATAAGGGCAATGACAGGGAGGTTTTTCGCACTTCAGCCAACGTGCATGTATTTAATTGAGAGAGGAAACGTGGGAACTCCATACAGAAATTATTATGACCGGACTTTGACCTCTGGATCTTGTTGGTGTGAGGAAACAAGGTTGAAAATTAATCTACTAATCCTGAATAATCTGAAAATAGGTGACTAAAAAAAGTAAAAACCAACCTGAAGTGTCTTAGTAAGGTATTGGTAGCTATTTTTTACAACTCTAGCACTTTTATGTCCATGTTTGCTCAAAAGTTGAGCTTGACAGTTCATGATAATAACTGTAACATGATGATGATGATGATGATGATGACAATGATGCACTTAAATGTTCCAGGACAAGGGAGTAAGAAGAGGATTGCTTTGTACTAAGTGTAAAGTTTCTGTATGGGTACTAAAATTTTTCAAATCCATACAATAGTTAGGGTTATTTACATGGGAATGAAAAAAACACATGCTGTTAAAAAAGCAAGACAGTATCTGTGAGATTTCTTCATTACATTTAAAGGTTACAAACATCTGGCACTTATCTGCACAATTCTTGCCAGGGAAAGTAGCTACATGAAAAGTTACTGCCACTTAAGTACCTTCATCCCAGCAGGACAGTGGCTATACTGACCAGCTCATGGTCGTATGTTACAGAGCAAAATATTAATAATGTCAGCTTCCCTCATATAAACAAAGACTTGACTCAAACACTGAGAAATCCTGAGGTTTCTGTCTGCGGAAAGCTTCAGCCCAGCAGTACATGATGTTGTGCTGACCTCTGGTGCTCACTTGTAGTATTAATTCTTTCCCAAAACCTGTGTTCACACCATTGAATATGACTTTTCACAATATCCATGTTGCAGCAGTCTAATCAGTTCTTGCTTTGATGCCATTTTTACTTTGTTATTCTGTGTAATTTGTTCTTACTGTTCTGTTTTGAGTTTTGCTGCTACATTTTTCTCCTGTACACCAAATAAATGTTTTTCGTTTTACTGTACACTATGTGGAAGCCAGGAAAACACCTCATGCAGGTAGCTTATTTGTGGCCAAATAAACAAACAGCACTAGTACAGGGGCAGAGCCAGACATTGTAAACATTCGGAGGGAAGATTTCTCCTCATATATGTGATATTTACCAAATGTGGACATGTATGCAATTAGCTACTAAGATTATTTTAACGCTAAACTATAAACTTTACCTCGAATTATGAATGCTAACTGTGTTAGCAGCGACTTCCTACCGCATATCCAAACGCTTGTCGCGGTCGGGTAGCCGGTGGGCGGCCGTGCATAGCACTACCCTATGTGAACTTTGACCTTCAGTTTGTTTTTGCCACTTATCAACTTATTTATTTTTTGTATTTTATATTTATTACCTGGTTATCATGTATGCATTCTGAAATTACCAAATGTAATTATTCATTTTATTTATTTATTTTTATTAGGAGAATTGGGTAACAAAAAAAGAGGGGGAAAAAATGCGCATGCGCAACCCAACGCCCGTTCGAAATGGTCGTTAGAAAAGTGTTCCTGTTAAAAATGTAATATTTAAAATTTTCATGTAACGTGAGGTGTTCAATACGCATGATTGACATTACTTGTTGTCAATTGTCAGTTAGTGCCTGGGAAACCGTTAAAATGTTTCAGACGTTTGGACGTGACGAGCTAGCAAACCGTTCTGTTAGCTAGTTTCGTATCTAGCTAACATTAGCAATAATAATTACGTTTATCCTACATACACTGCCAGAAGTGTCCACATCATCTATTAGGACGACATTGCTTATTTGAAGGTTAGACAAACAGGGCTGCTGAACATATTGTGTTTTTTTTTCGAGTGGAAAGTTTGGTAATAAGAGTATCGGTAAGTCAAATTAACTACGTAACATCTAGCTATTACTTTCAAAGTCGACATTGACTCCTGGACCCGTAAAACTAGTCTTGCGAACAGTCTCTTTTAATAGTAGTCTCTCAGTTTCTTTTCTTATTCTTAATAGTTTATATTCTTCCCTCCGTTTCAATCTTTATGAATGAATTAGAGGAGTCTAGAGTTGTTGTTCTCAGGTGCTGGATTCGGTCCACAGTGAGCTGACATTAAATATAGGATTTCATGCACTTGTAGGAGCTGGAACTTTAACTCAAGTGCCAGCCACTAGTGCCAATCTGGAGGTGTGTGTGTGTTGAACCCTGACTGGTTTCTATATTTAGTGTCAGAGGGAGTTTTTTTTTTTTGCCCGACACCGGTATGGCTCAGACTTCTCCGGTGACAGTCCGACCCGTCCTGCAGCTCTGCGGACTCCAGATCTGTCAAACTGCGCTTCAGGTTTCATCTCCACCAACCACTACAGAGCAAGATCTGTTCTTCAACATTAGAGATCATTATTGCCTGGACCTGCATCTTACATCTTCGCAAATAACGCACTCTTTGCTGCATGTAAGTACACGCAACTTTTTGAATGTTTGTTATTCACCAGAAACTTTTGAATAACGAGTTGTATCCGCAGGTGGTAGGAATGCATTGACTCTTGCCTGTGTTATTTGGAGGTTAGATTTACATAATCCAGCTATAATTGATCCCAGATATCATCAGTAATGTTACTGCTGTCATCCCCCTTGTTTCCTCTGCCGTGTTTGAGAACAATGACTTTCCACTACAGTTTTCTTAAACCTGCAGGGCAACCGCTTGTTATCTGCGTTATTAAAAAGTCCTCTGGTCTTCCTCAAGGACTCATTATATGGCTCGGCTGAGCTGATCTGAAAGCAGCCACACACACGTGTCCCCGCTGCTATTTTGGGCCCTGACAGCTTCATAACATCGACACAATCTTACATTCCTGCACTGGAAGGGAGCACACTTTGTAGCACTTGATAACATACAGAAGTGATATAAAAATGGTCAGCTGTAATAAAACAAATGGCATTCTAAATGGGTTGAAATTTGAAATACAAGTTGTTGATGTCATACATATTTTGTTTGAGATAATAAGTGATTTGCCCTAATAACATTGATTAATTAATGAACATTTTAAGTGCCAACAGATTAACTGCATGGCTTTATAATGTATTAACATAATAACGTTTTCTTGTCATGTTCAAAACATGGAAAGTTTTTGTTACTATGTCTAAAGTTGATTATTAATCTATAGTAATGAGATCTTCAGTCTAGTTAGAGATTAATTATCATATGATCCTTGGAGTTCTCTCAGCAGTTTATTGACCCCTGCATCACTGGCTGTGTTGATAGGAGGGGGCCACATTAAAATTATTCTTTTGTATAGACCCAGTGACATGTGTCCCTCAGCACATTCAATTCTGGATGGTGAGCTTCTTCATGAATGTTATGTTTTACGGCACATTTTGGTTTGCAGGCTCGTTTGAGGCTTATTTTTTCACACACATCATGGCTCTCTACACCTGTGGCTACTATTAGTACAAAACTATTTCTGCTTTTACTATAGCCACTACCAATACTGCTGCTACTGACACTAGTACTAGTACACTACAGTTACCTCCAGTAGTACTAGTTGTAAACCCATGCATTTAATTTTCT